AATAATAATAATACCCTTACTTTTCTAAGTGGCCCTGCACTATATTTATACAGGTCAACACTTACGATGGATAATAAAGGATTAGGTCGCTTACCAATCACGTTGACTTTGGACGAATCAAGTTTTTTGTACCCAAATTCTTATTGCTAACTAAGAAGATAAATGATAAATTTTAGAGCCAACCAAGTGATAATAAACGAGTCAGTCGATGGGGAATTTTCTGTAATCAAGAATAATTTATTTTCTTAGAGTCTTTTATGAGTATCTACCTGTGCTACAAAAGAAAATAAGTTGTAGATGTTCAATGTTCGTTGATAAATACTATTAAGCAGAAACCAATAACAAAAATATGAACGTGTCGTGCTTTGTAAGCGTCAGCTTGGCTTTACATGCCAATAGACTTGCATTAATCCAGTAATAACGTACAATAACATTTACAGGTATGTAAATATGAAACCGGAATTTGTCAATAGATGACCGTAACTGTTAAATTTCTGTGAACGTATCTTGCTTTGTACGCGTAAACGCGGCTTTACATGCCAATAGACTTACTTTAATCCAGTAATAAAATATACGACAGGTATGTAAATATGAAACCGGAATTAGTGAATAGATGGCCTTAACTGTCAATAAAGTTACGTCCGGCAAAGACTTTGCAACTCATAGTAATGTACGTCTCGTACAACAGTGTAGTCATTAATACCGTCGAATGTTGTACCAAAGTTTTCATTTTTGATTTTGAAATTTTTGTTAATCAATGGTACGGACTGAATTGGCCAAATTTTAGTTTACGTTTTTAATTTAAATCGCGAGGAATTTAAAACTAGGCATAATATTTTAGAAGAGTTTCGCGATATCAGTCTCGACTTCAGCTTGTCTAAGAGAAACGTCTGGAGTGCGGCCTCTGCGAGCGCACTATTCGACTATCTTTACAATTTTCTCTGTCCTACAAATACTTGATAAACATGATACACCTCTTGTCGCGAGTGTATTGTTATTTCCGATGCCAGTGTTTTTATTTATTATAACACAGCAAAAAAGACAAAAAAACACTTTTGTGCGCTCTACATCTTGAAATGTGGTCCTTTTCTTTACGCGGGTGGCAACAGTAGGGTCTTTCCTTAAAGGATTTTCAAGTCGAATTCTGCGAATTCTATTTAAGATCGATGACTGATCTGGTGACGTGTTTTTAAAATTTTTGCAATTTTCCACTTGCACTTGCAGAATGACCCTGAGACTATATGAGTTTTCCTTCGCATATTTGAATATCCACTTTTAAGAGTTTTGGTAACTTGGCTATCTCAAGTTTCAGTCGATAAAGGCATAACACATCGATTGGTCCGACAACCACCGGGGGGCTGCAGCCACTTCTCCCTACCTCTTTTTCTTTCCGGCCATCATTGTATTGGCCGAGTCGAGGACATCTACTGATTGATTGATCATAGAATGAAAGGGAAAAAACATTTTAGAGCTTTCCAGGTGGCACAGATTCAGCGAAAAAGTTAATTATTTTTGATGATTATTCGGTTCCCATGTGATCGCCGATTGCAAGGCTTCTTATAAAACTTGTAGAAAGAATCTCGACGAACAACTTAATAGTCGTGAGTTCGAAATCTCAAGTGTGGTAGAGTTTTCAACAAAAGCCGATAGCCTTGGATGCTAGCGCTTTAACATTTTAGACTTCGAATGTAATTCTTTGCTTAAGTTAGTTATATTATAATAATAGTAATGATTGTAGAACTTTGTAGCATATTTCTAAGCTTTATATATGTGATTTACAAGAAAAATGCAAACCTTTTACTTTACTACTGTCTTAGCCTACTTTTAAGCATTACATATGAAATGGAAAGTTTTGCATACTTTTGTGAAACTGTAGCTTATAAAAACATCTTTCTTCGATTAATGGTGTTTTGCGTGGTAAAAATATAAACAACAACTTATAGGCAACGGGAGCGGCGATTGTATAAAATGTGTATAAAAATAAAATTAAATAATTTTCTACAGTATCGCAATTAGCTTGCGCGCGTCTTTAAATACAATATTTATTGTTTTGAGTGATAAGGAAAATTCGAGCATATTCACCAAGCTCTGCGATTGAAAAAGCAACAACAATAAAACAAACACAAAAAGAAATTATCTATTATTGTTATTTATTATGTTATTACGTATATATACATATATATATATATATATATATATATATATATATATATATATATATACATTTAATACAAGAGCACACCAGAGAGATACTGTGTTTTAGTTAGTAATAATAAAAGAAGGAAAACAAAGTTTCGGCCTTATAACCTGACCAGATAAACTGTAATCTGCTTTCCATATTAGTAAATTGTAAACAATGTAAATAAATTTACATATATACTTACACTTTGAAATACAACATCATTCATCCATCGGCAACGGCTGCATGTTGTCTTATACCGAGCTTTGTGTTTATACGGTCGACAACATGGTTTATTGACTCTGCCTCTGACATGTAATATAATTGCTATGTAGTTGTTATTCTTCTTGTTTTATATTTAAATTTGTGATCAACAATTATTATTAATTTTTATTTGTAACACGTTACGATTTTTTTTTACCGAAATCCGGTTTCTTGACATTTAAATATTTTTCTTCTTTTTTTTTTTTTTAAACAAGTTTTAACTCTTCCTTTTTTTTTTATTAATTGAGAAAACGTTTTTCTATATGACTTATTAAGATATTATTAACGTGGTTTTGGGGAGCGGTTTCTTTTTAATAACTACGCTATATAAAGCTGAGATGGCCAACTTCCATCCAACCATCACATCACTTCAATGTTCATAAACTCAACAAGAACGACTTGCGTATTAAAAGAAATTCACTTCACTTACTTCATTTCAAATCAGTTAAAATTTTTAAGTTTCAGCTGTATTAGGCTTGCAAATAGAGTAAGAGCTATATCTTCAGCTTGTTTATGTAGAAAGCGATTTAATTACGAGTAGCTATTTTCAAGGGGACGTGTCATCATAAAACGAAAATGATCCCAAAATGAAAGAAAATCTAAGCTATGCTCGCTTTCAACTCTGAAAATGAAATATCATAAGCATCAGGATAAACAGACTACGAGAATGTAAGCCAGATGAAGTCTGGTAATCACTAACACAACACTCTATTAGTAACCTCGCTATATGGTTTAATTAGTTTCATGTCGTGCGAAGACGTGACATCGCCCGAACCATTTAGAGAGCCTTCTTTTATAGTTTGTATTGAAGGCGATATGGAGATGAGATTATAAATGTCGATCAAGTTTTTACATGCAACCCTAAATTAGTTAATGATTCCCATTGACTTAGGTATATGATCCGCAAGCACTTCAACGGACGCCCACGAACATTTAATTACTTATTAAATAATTTGTTTATCGATTTCCCTCACCGAACTACCGAACTGCAAATCACCTTATTCACGAACGAAAATGACTTCCTTAAGCCATTGTACGACATTTGACCATCAGTCAAGTCTTTGTCTTAAATTAAATTTCACACTGAATACTTTACTGCTGTTTTTAAAATCCATTGCTGTGCAAGTGATCTATACAAGGCGTGTCGTAAGCTATTGAGGGATGATTATTTTGAAAAGGCATAATCTTCACAGACATTCTGTCGCGATGCGTAGCAGTTGATCGGTTTAGAGACCGAGTTGTAACATTCTAAGTGAAAATGTGTTCACTAAACTGATATTGAGCTAATTTTAAACTTGATTGACTTTATGTCACCTACCACCTATCCCCAACTATTTTTTAAGGCTTTCAATAAAGTGCCAACGCAACTTTTTTAATAGAAAATAGAATAGAAATAGTCTAAACCCTATAGTCGACATTGTAATTATTATAATACATTGCGGCCTGTACGTCGAACATACGAAAACAATAGGGGCAGACACGCTTAGACCGATTCAGAAAGGGTCTGTGAATTGATCGATATAATAAAATATGTTATTATCCTAACATACGTTCGGATCGGAAATGGTTTATGATATAAATATATGAAATTGTTTTCTGTACCTTGATCGATGGTTACCTATGATCAACAGTCGTGTATTTAAGAGCGCAAAATAAGTGTCAGAAAACCAATTTTCACTTTGTACTTACTTGCACGAACCAAATTGCTATCCAAAACTTTTGCTATGGCATTAACCATATTTTTTAGGGTGCATAAGCCTTTACCATCAAAAGGTATTCTTGCGTAAGGGGAAAACTATATACAATTGAAGATAGACGGTAGGGTACGATCTGCGGAGACCCCAAGCCGATATCGCCAGAGATCCAATGGACTGAAATCGCCAAGGCAGCCCTAGGAAGGGCGGACCGAATCACAATATGGGGCTAACAGATGGGCATAGAAGCATCAAAAGCCAACAAAACGCGGAAAGAGCTGAAGACCGTAGCAGCAGTTAAGCGAGAATGGAACGGAATAGTCGAGACTCTATGTTTCTTGAAACAGGATGTGCCACAAATAGCGTACAGCATGACAGAAGTAGTAGAATATTCTTTGAAGAAATCAGAATATACAAGGCACTCTAAATGAGAAAATTGTTTCAAAGTACAACCAGAATCTGGCCACCTTGCTCTAAAAAGCCATATTTTTTTAAACAATTCAAATAAAATCAATTTTTAGGGGCTTTATAAAAGCAGCCGAAAGATATGTTCAAAAATTAATTAAATGCAATTTTAGTGCATAACTATAGGCTGACCGAGAATTAACAGTCAAAGGGACGAAAGCAATCACTTCGACCCCGACATAATCCGCAACTTATTTAAAAAAGTAAAAGTGTAATCAGCAGTAGAAAGTATTTCTATAGGAAGAAATCGAAAATAACACTAACTCTTCGGTTTTATTATTATTATTTAATTTTTTTTTTCTTTCATGAATCAACATTTAACAAATATTTGTTTATTTATAAAAATGTATGTATCCAAAAAAAAAAATAAAAAAAACTATAAGACGTAATTTCCAATATTTTCAAATAATCTGAAAAAAATCCAGTTGTAAAAAATAAAGATTTCAACTTAGGTACTAAAAAAATGAAAGGAATTTTGTTCGCAATCTTTGTTTCCACTTTGGTGACGCAGACATAAGTTTAACTAAAGTTTAAGTACTAAATTAAAATAAAGCTGCAAAGAAATTATGAAATATAATAATCGAATGTACGTGCCTATAACATATACATAAATACAAAGGTGAAAAAACTAAAGCGATTAGAAGAACACGCTTAACTACTACGCTTTTGGTTGGTCGTCATCAGCTGAGAACGTTGCAATAGCAAATATGAGACCTTTTCATATGTTAATATAGTGAGCATGGTGGCCGGCACAACACGCACCAAACTAGGCTGCAAACCCTTATAAAAACCTCTTCCTCTCTCGTGCCTGCAAATACGCACAAAAGAAAAGTGTAATGTGAACATTAGCAAAGTTGGTCAAAGGCTTACCTTCTAAGTGAGTACAAGTAGCTTTTTTTTTTTTTGTTTTGATTTGTTTTGTTTTGTTTTTTGGTGAAGGAAAAGGGACTTTTTTCTTTTACGCATTTTCTTTTTTTTTTTTTTTTTTTATCTTGATCGGTAAAAGAAAAATGAAAAACATGTAGAAAAAAAATTAATTAAAATTCATTTAGCAAATAGATTCAGCAGAAAACACACTTTGAAAAGAGAACCGGATAACAAATTTGTTAAATATTACACACATACATATATATTTATATAGATAGATATATTAATATAAGAATAACTTACTGTTTTTGTGTGTGCGCGACCACATATATAGTAAGTGAATACCGTGAATGTTAAAATTAAATAGAAAAGAAAAGCCACAATAAAAAAGAGTACACTTTTAGTTCTTTTAATTTAGCAAATTTTCCAAACTGAACCGCCTTAGCGATTGCTTTTGTTTTATACAATTTGTTTTCTTCTTTTTTTTTTTTTAAATTTAATTTTAAAGTATTTTAATATTTTTTTTAATGAGCTTTGTGTTTAGCCATATATTTCCTTTTACATGAGATTTGCTTAATAGTTTCTGTTTACTGTGTGATGGAATCTTTTTGCCAAAGGAAGTTTAAATAATTTTTTATTGTTAATAGATATTTGTTTTTTTTTTTTTTTTTTTTTTTTTTTTTTTTTTTTTTTT